AAAGTATTTAGATGTGAATTAAGATTTAGCGCAAATTTACTATTTACATTTCTAAAGTTTATCTTATGCCATTTGAAATGAATCTAAAATAGAAAGGCATTGAAATCCCATTGATCCAATTTACTTAGCGTTGATCTAAAATATACACAAAGTAATTGAAGTAATGAATCGTGAAGCAAACGTTCAAGCCAACTTTTTATTTTAGGTCAAATGTAAAGCAGATACTGAAATCAAATGAGTTTTGAAAATATATTCACTATTGGAAGCTGTTAAAAGCAATTAAATGTTTTTAAATATTTCCAGTCATTTGAGTATCACCCCACCCGTAATTAAGCAGAGACCATCGTAAACATCAATTATGGTATTGGGTTGCATTAATTGGTTTTCCTTTAGATAGGCAGTATTCAATTTAGGAAGCATAATTTAACCTATGCAATAAGACTATTGACTTCCAGAAGCGTCCTGTAGGATTGTCATCGTACACTCGATTTCTACCTTTACTTAATAAAATATAGTTTCAAATATTAATTTAACTTCTTACACTTTCTCAATGAGCCCTTTAATTGTTCTCAATAATTGATTTCATATCTAATATTATCCCTCAAAATTAGCTTTCCCCAAGTTTTCAAAACTACACTAATGAAAATTGTTATCATTCGTTCTTTAGTTTAAATAATTGTTACTAAAAATTGGTTGATCTTTATTTAAAAAAATGATCCTATAAACAATTGCTATTTGGAAAGTCATTAGGAAAATACTATGGTGAAATTTGCCCAAAAAATACTTCCAGTTTTAGCTTCACTGTTTTTTAAATTGGGAAAGAGAAAGTCGTTGCCTTAAAGTAATGCCTTGCGCTTCATAAAAGCAACTTTACGTTTTTAATTTTATTGTTTTATTGTACACCATTTGAGAAAAAAGAAAAAAGTGTAAGTGCAATAAATAATACCTTTATTTTTTAAATCCGCAACACAAATGTAACCCAACTACACTTATTATATAAAATAACATAGATTTATAAAATTAAATTAAATTATCGTTATAAATTTGATCTTAGCTTAAGCATTTAAGATCTAGGTTTTTTCAATTAAAGAAATGCATTTAAATCATTTCACTTTAATCAATTTTACCACATGCTTCCAGAACTTCTAAGCCCTTTTATAAATTTTCGAAAGCAAACATAAAACCATGAATCAAATGCATCAACCTATTACTGTTAATAATTACCTGAAAGATGTGTTCGAGCTTTGGAATAAGAAGTCTTAATTCTATTTTGGCTATTTCGTGGTAGTAACTGCAAGTGTTAGCCAGACAGACAGAGAGATTACAGGTTAGTGTATAAAGTACAATTAGTTCTGTGTGTTTTTTTCAGCATTTATCTTAAACAACGAAAAGGCCCTGGACGTATTTGTTGCGGGTATTTTTTTCAACTTATAATAGCCCATAATAGACTTCTTTTCCCTTTTATCAGATAATTGTCGAGTGTCAATAAAAAAAGTGTAGCAGTATGGTTGAAATGAGATATATATTTTTGAAGAAAAATATTTGCCCTCAGTTGTGTTTGAGGTAACATATGCTAAAGCACCTTTCGTAATTCTTAGAAGTTGCGGCAATAAGTATGTTCTCCACGTTAGTGCCATTTTATTCAATCGGATTAGATTTTGCAGACATCGAAATTTGAATTATTGCTTCAAATTCTAGTTTTCATTTGACATTATATAAACAGCGACTTCATTTCAAAATGGGTTTTACGAAAATGTAGCAAAATCAAAAGATAATATATCATGAGAACGGTGTTTATTTTGCCTATAATACACTTCATTAAAACGAAGGAACTCTTTTATAAGTGCTTCTACTGCCGTATAGGAGCCGGGATTAAATTACGTGGAGTTTATTACGGAGCTATTGAGATAGTCTAATATAATCGGATAATGTTTTCACACTTTGAATTTCCGCATATTTGTAATTTTAACACTTAAAATTATATAATTTCAAATTTAGTTTACATTTTAGATAAACCTATTAAAAGACTTCAAGCAGTTAATGGAAAGTACAGTTATCACCATTGATATTGAATAAAAAAATGATAAATTACTTTAGATATTAAACTAGGAGAGGACTAAGGAATGAATTTGTTTAAATTTTGGTTAATTGATCCTGATTTTGGTTTCAATGTTTGACTTACTTTCTGTTGCCCCAGTGTTCAATTAAAAAATAAACATAGAAATTTTATGTTGGACAAATAAAGAAATTTAATGTCTTTTATTCCGTTTAATTTTTTTCACTCACAGTTATTTTTAAAATTTCAAATTGTAAATTTTTAAAGCAAATTTTCGCTCCTAGAAAGTTTTAAATTTTAAATAATCAGTTGATAAAGCAGTTTCAATTGTTTCTTTTAACAATTTTATTGGTAAGGTTATTAGCGGTAGTAGAATTTACACGATTTACAATATGCACATATATAAAACAAAAATTAAATCATATTTTACAAGAATTAACCTACTTCAGTCCACGTTTTGCAGTATCTTGTCAAATCTCATCCATAGCCAATAGTTAACCAGTTAAAAATCAAAATGATTTAAAAATGTGCACGTATAGTATTTTAATTATTATTCAGCGTTAAAACTGAAAAAAACATGAATATTTGAAAAGCATTGAAAGATTTTCTATTGGACGTTTAAAACTACTTTAGGACTGGTCTTTTTGAAAATCTATAAATGATTAGCATTACATTTTGTTAGAGTATCGTATCGACCATGTTAATAAAGATAACATAACCGATATGAAAATTGGCCTGATTTATTGTATTATTTCAATTATGAGAAATTTAACATAGAATAGCACTAAAGAATTTGTTTAAAAAAAAGATTACATTATTTCTTTCTTATCAGCATAATTATTTCGAATTGAGTGTGTTCGTACATATTCATGCATATGTAAATTTAAACCATTTTAAATCCTCATATATTTTGGTTGTAATTTTACTTCATTTCCAGTCCGTGATTTATTAGCAAAGCAGAGTACTTGCTGGCATATTCTGCTTTTAATTAGAGAATTTCACAGTGAAATAGTACGTCAAAATGAGCAAAACTTGAAAAGAAATTTGGAGCGACGCAAAAATGAACAGAAATTCAAAGTTGTTTCGAGGTCATTAAATGAATTTGTTTGCTTTTCTCAAACTCTTGCAATTCTATTGCGGTAAATTTCCATCGCACTTTGCATCCACTGCTTTCGACCATTTTTAATAGAGTGATGAATGCATCTAGTGTTTCTAGTATTTTGATGTAAACATGCCTCTTGTATTTAGAAATTATCAACCATTTTTTGATTTTCCTTAAAAAATGCTATTTGAAATAGCAAACATCTCATTATATCATTTCATGAGTCAATTGAGTGAATTTTGGCATATATTTTAAGTCCGAGAGATCACTGAAATTCATTTTCCTGAAAACTTTTATGCGCAATTTTGAATCACAATCACAATATTGATTATTGGACAATTAATAAATAGTTCCGTTAATTTTTGCTTGCTGTCGTTTTTGTAAATCAAATATGGTTTTCAATATACTTTCGAATTTTTATCTGTGCACTAATTTCCAGCATATGTTATAATAGCTTACCAAAGTCATAACGTTTCGGATAGCTAATGAATTTCTTTAATTGCCCTAAAACGTTTGTTCTTACATGTATGCCATTATATGCACTTACCTCAAACCCCGAATAGTCCATAAAGTACTTAGTTTATATTAACCGATTGATAAAGTGTTTTGACACATATTAACAAAAGATTAGATACCTTATATTTTTAATCATTTTCACCATTTTAACTTCTTTTAATAGAGTTTAATCAATCCAATCATATTTGCAAGCATCTCTTCAAGCATAATGATATTTGACTTAAATTGTTCATTTACGCTAGAATTCAACTATAATTTATAGACATGAGTCCAAAGGTGTTGAGTATAAAATACAGGTTTCAGGAAACGTTTCATTGTAACTTATAAAAAAGTTGTATCAATGAAAGTATGCAATTGTATTTTGAAAGTACAAATAAACTGTATTTATTAAGACAAATTTGTGCTAAAATCCCCATTACCTACTCTCTGGCTGTACTGCCATAAATCCATAAAACACTATTACAAACTCCAAAAAAGCTTAATTAAATTTTCTACTGGGTTTATCGTCGATAAATTATTGATTTTAGAATAAATATTTTCCATTGCATACCCGTTTTGAATATATTTTGTATTGAAAGAATTTCAATTGTTCAGTTCAAAAATAAACATTTTTTCCATTGTATTTTGGGCGAATGAAAGCCAATTCGTCTCATAGAAATACATCGTGCTGTTTTATCTATTTGTTACATATACATATATATATATATATGTTATAATTTTGGCGAAACCAAAAGTAATAGGGCTGTTTAATAGAAAAAAATGTAGAAAGTGAATGGAATTTTAGAATCGGTTTATAAAATATTCATATTGTAGGTGGTAGAGGATCTGTAAATCACGTTGCTCTTTACTGAAGCATTCCATATTTATTAATAAATTATTCAATTTGATGTATTTCCTTCAATCTTTTATTTTTTTATTATATGTGTATATGCATAATGAATTATTGAATTATTTGAAGTGCATTGGCTCAATTGAAAGAGAAAGACAATTGAAATTTTAACATGAGTTCATTAATCAATAACAGATATTCGAGAAATACTAATGTGAAACCTCTTTCGATCACTTTGTTATTTTTTTTGTTTCAGTGCTTTTGCACGGTGTAAATTACTACAGATATCTCTAGTTTATTTGACAAATTTACCGTTCAATTTCTGTTATTTGAAGCTCAGGCAAAATACTTTAATAGAGGGTGAACAATACGTTGGGCCTCTATGAAAAATCGCTGTCCAATGAAATAAATAATATGCTTTTTCCATGAAGAAATATTATCTCCGTTCCAAAAATAATTGAAGCTTTTATTGTGAACTTCAATCCTCCCATTAACTATTTTTTTTGCATTCTAGATGCGCGGGTCACCTGGAGAATTGCAACGATCCCAATTTCAGGCAGTTTCGTTTTTATGCCTACTATTTTAACAATTACTTTGGTCACGGAATGGCCAATTCAGCGGAAACCGCTTCGGCCTGGCTAACGGTATTAGTTTCGGTTGAGCGTTATATGGCAATGAAATATCCAATGCTAGCCCTCACATACTGCCGACATAGCTCAGGCCGAATGCACGTGATAATTATAATTCTCCTTTCCGTGGCCTTTAACGCGCCCCTTTTCTTCACCACTCGATGTTCACGCAAAAATGTCACTACTGAAACCGGTGAGTCGAAGGAAATACTTGTCACATACTACACTGCCTTCGGAAAATCCACCGACTACGATATCTTCACGTGGTTTCGCTTCGTCTTGGTTCAAATTGTTCCCCTAATAGCTCTATGTATTTTCAACAGTCTCCTTCTTACCGTCGTGAGTGAGAGTTATCGCAAATTGCGAACGCAACAGGAGGTTAAGGAGATATCTCACGATGGAAATAGGGAGGTGCCCAATTCTAGCAAACATCAACGCACTGTCAAGCAGTTGCAAATCGAGCGTCGGCAACGGGCGCAGACTAAACTAACTCTCATGCAAATATGTGTAATATTTCTCTTCCTTATTGGCCAGATTCCCCAAGCCTTCTCCTTTGAAAAGATTGCCAATGTGATAATGCCCGTGTGGTGCGGCAAGTGCTGCAAATTTCGCATTTATTATCAAGTTATAAGCATATTGCTTAGTCAAATTGGCTTCTCTTTGCCATTTTTCATTTACTTCTCCCTTAATAGACACTTTCGCAAAATCCTCCTTACCTGTTGTAAGTCGAAACCCACCGAGCACTGTACAACACGATATTCACGAGCAACCATAGTTGAATCGCGTGTTTATTAGACCATTCACAAGTTCCTCCCCCCTTCCCTCCTCCACCCACCCTACCCCACCCCCCACCCCCACCTCCTCACCCTCACTTCCTCCTCCGCTTTGGTCTGTTAGATGCCAACCAGTTCTGGATATATTTTGTAGAAACGAAGAAAATTATTTCCTACAAATATCTCTTTCTTTTCTCATTTATGTTTTTTTTGTCAATGGGGTCCAAGTTAATGCCAAGGCCGGCTTGTGTTGTCCTTCCTCACTGATAATTTAAATTATAAATCGAGATATGTATGGAGATGAAGGAAGTAAATGTTTAAGACATGGATTAGACACATCGTAATTGGTTTATAATGATTAAATATTTAAAGTCTTGGCAAATGGTTTAAACTTGACGTCATTAAATGTTGTGATTTCTTATTATAAATCAATTTAGTGTCCAGGGCTTTCGGATTGCGGAATGTAATGTAGATGTTAGCAAACACCTCGTAACCGTTGTACATGGAATTAGTAATCGTAACTACTAGAAAGAAATTGTAATGATTTCGTGCGTACGTATAAAGCATGAAATCTTGGAAATGAATAAATTACGCGAATTGATCAAGTCATTACAAGGAGAAACTAAATAAAAATAAATTTTACATGAAAGTTATGATAAGTGGGATATTTTTACATTTATATGAAGATAAATGTTAAAGTAAATATGCAAATGAGCCTTATGAATTAACATGTATTTTGGAGTAATTTTTGAAATATACGAGGCTATTGAAAATCAAACTTTATGGGACATGTAAAAACGCTAATGGATATTTTTCTAGTTTCACAAACTTTACGTATCGAATCAAATATAATATCATAAATTTTGGTAAAATACACAATTGTTTTAGGATAGTTGTTACTTAATCATCGTTGAAGGAAAAAAATTGAAATCGATTATAGGGGGCAACAATTTCTCTTAAATAATCAAGTTAAACTAGATTTTGCATTCAGTATTATATATATATATATATATTTATATATATATATATAATTTAATAATACTTTTGCTAAATAAATTCTTGCACTGCCGTATAATCACTGTCATGCTTTCAGTGGGATTTTCTTGGTGTAAAGTTGATTAAGTTCAAATATGGCGTGTTAAAGAATCAGAAGTTGGTGTACGGCAATTTTGCAACAATTGATTAGTATACAGCCGAGACGAGGTTGTAGAAAAAAAACAATATTCCTTTTTGTATTATCCTTTCCAAAAACATTACTCCTACTCAAGTAGGTTTTCTCTACCGGCTTTTCAACTATCCTGTTTACATCAAATCTACTTAATTTCCCCATTCGTTTTTAGCACAACGCCCCCCCCCAACTTTGATTCATCAATTCCACTTGATCAGCCGACTTCCACTTTCTGGTCGTCCGACAACTGTCCATCGTTTGTTTTATCTTCACCTTCCACCTCCATCTTTGAAATCACCACCCCCAAATAACACTTGCTTTCTATTCATAATTCCCCTATCTTACTTGTGATAATATTAGCAATTATCCATTTAATTTATGCGATGTCTTGCCGTGAAAACAATGAATGTTTGCGTTTCTTTCCAATCCGACCCATACTTATACCATTCACCAGCTAGATAAAGTTTCTTCTCTCAGAATTTGATGCAAATTATTAATGGACATCCTTACGGTATGATAAATATTCCATGAATTTCGTGCATAGTTTCAACAATTTGAAAACAATGAAGTTGGGAGTAGGAAACACTCTTTTCAAAGATCGCTAACGTCGTAATAGCTACTTGAAAACAAAGACATAACTAAATTTATTGTGCAAAAAAAATTTCGTTTTCTCTAATTGGCTGTGTGAATGTTGGAAGAAATTCACACCAATTGCGAATTAAGTCGGTATGTAAAATTGTGCAAAAAAACGGTTGATTTTATAATTTTTTGTGAATGAGCAAATTTAACTTAAAATAAAGTATTCTGCACCAACTATTATCATTTAAAAAAATATTACATTCATTGAAGTTAATTTAAGACATAGTTTTTGTTGTGTCTGAAAGAAAGAAATAAATGCTAAAAGACATGATAGCAAAATCTCAATGAGGTTGTATTAGGCAAAATTGCAATTAGTTACAATGGTAAAGAAAACATTTTCGAAGCAGTAAGATTCAAAATTTGGGCAGATTCCAAATTAGTATAGAACGTCTTTGGACCAGGAACGGGTTCAATGTAATAACGTTGGAGGTAACAAAAATTGCAGCCAACTTTCAAATTGATATTTCATTACGGAGGGGAGTATAGCTCTGGCATTGCTGACCTAAATAGCGCTTTCGCAAGAGATCAAAAGCGGTTAAAAGTGCAACGACCTCTCGACTAGACAATAACCTCGTAGACATTATAGCATTGTCGTAATCAAGGAGAACTTGATGATTTTTAACCATCTCATCACACCCAACAACCAAACATACACAAAGATCAAGTGAACTTATTCAACGCAGTATGCCTGTTTACTTCATGGCTTTGTGTTGCTTAGCTAGTCCTAGAATCTATTCCAAAATTTGAGTTAACTTTGAGCTAATGATTACTGAGCATTATTTATTTATTTATAACAAATGGCAGGCGTTTTGATAGGTATCATTAGCCCTTTAGTTAACTTCGGGCTTCAAAGAGGGAAGGAGAAACAACAAAATGAGAAGAATTCGGGAGGGGGAATAGAAGAGTGACTAACAGATGTAAAAGAAACAGACAGACACAGAGGCTCAGAAAGGGTAAGATGAGTACTGTGATAGGGGTCGAATATGATATACAGTGGGGGTGATGGTAGTTTGAATGGGGAATTCAACTACCGGTTAATAGACTTTTTTGTCGTATGATTATACGTTTCCCAGGGTGCATCACGAGGAGGTAAGTCTATCCCACACCCATGAATACTGAGCTTAAATCAAGGCGTATTAGCAGTATTGCTGTAGTGAGTTTTGAGTTGCCATACGTAACTAGAATTAAGCATTTCTAATGGGCGACACGAAAAAAGCCAGATCAGAATGAAAGTGAGCAGGAAAATGTTTTGACTCAATTTACTTCCGATCTTCCAAAGATTATTCACTGCCAAATTGAAGAATGAGCCATGGCTTTGCCTTCCATTATTTAACTAAGTTTTATGGAGATATCAGTGTATCAGTGAGTTACACCAATAAATATATGCGTATAAAACTCTTTAAATTTAATTGACTATCCATAATAATTGCTTGAATGGTTTACCCATTTGCTACTTCATTAATTTGGATAATAATTTCTATAATTATCTACAATCCTTTTAATAGAGCATGCATTTTGACTGAATGTCTCCGTTCAATATTAAACATTTTATCTAGTTACAAGAACAAAATATTTTTGACTAATCAAATTTAATTAAATTACTTAGATTTAGTGAAGCATGTATAAACGCGCTTTTTAATTTTGTCTCCAACTATTGATTAAATAGATTGAAAATAATTTTATCATATCACAATAGGCCTAATTAAGATCAACTTAATTTATTAGATCCAAATATAACGAAAGTTTTTGTTGGCTTGTCAGAACTAATTTTTTTAGAGCAAATTCATCCCTATTTTAAACAAACTAAGCTTAAATTTATTAGGAGTCAGCATTCAAATGAGGCAATGATTCATTGCTCATGATGTAAAGCTACCGCAAATGCTAAAAAAATAATTTTTGAAAATAATATTGAATGAAACAGTCAAACACATTTTGTCCAAAAATAACCTGAGTGGTATTTTTTTTAAACCATGCCAAATATAAGTGAGTTGATGTCTGTTTGCTTGCTAAACTCTGAGATGCAATCAGCAAGCTGATAGGAGAAATGGCTGTTTTGCAGCTTACTAATTCAGTTGCATTTAGGTTTTATGTGAAATTGCATAAATGTTATCCAGTATATATTTTGCCAATGAATTTTACTTTATTCGAATTACTCTACTATTAATTATATATTGGCAAAATCCAGCGTCTATTTTCCCTGAAATAAAATTAAAATTAGGGGGAAATTTTCTGCTGTATTTGCGTTGTTTTTGTGCGGAAAAATGGAAGATTATTTTCAATTTGTTACAGAAAGTAAAACTCATTTTTTGCCGTACAAATCCATTTTGGCTTGCATGACTACAAAGCGGCTTGTAGAGAGCAAAGTTAATGGAACGAAATGGATCACAATTTGATGATGGTGTACAGAATAATTTCACTTTAAAAGCAATATTTCATTTAAGGGGATCGATCTCTATGCTTTATAATAAATTAAAGAAGAACACCAAATAGAATTTATTCTTCACTTACTTGACTTGAACAGTTTGTTTAACCTAGTATCTTAGATTATTTTTTTAAAAAAATATGCGAAATGTGTTACTAAAATAAACGCCTAAATATTTGCTGAATAAAGCGTTTGTTAGCCTTCGAACTTCACATGTCCACCTTGTCAACTGTTTCCTTTACTTTAGTCACAAATATATCAACCTTTGGCAATTTCAAACGTAAAATCCTGCAACATAATGTAAGTTATCAAGTTAGCCAAATAGAAACCATCACTATACATAAATTTGCTCATTTTCAACACTTTCAAGATTCTCGTACATTAGGAGGCCAATCGCCATAAAAATACCTGCAATTGCATTTAACTTTGAACAGTTGTAATAACATTAAGCGTTGAAAATTATTTTTGACAATTAACTTTTCCTAAAATAGGGATTGGCGGATGTGGGCACTCCTTTGGAATGACTACATTTTTTCACTCGTTTCAGACGTTTATGAATCTGCTTGAGAATATCTTGAAATTATTTCTTTCCTACAGTTGGAAATACTTAGGGATCAATATTGACTTCCATACACTAAGCTAATAAATGCTCAAATTTGTCCGAATGGCACTTTAAGTGGTTTCTCATAAAGTTGCTCCAAGCAAAACATTTTCTACAGTAAAGCTAGATATAAAAAATACATTGGTAAGAAACAAAATAATTAAAGACCAGTAGAAAATGCCTTTTTTAAAC